GGGAGAGGCTCTACACTATGCTTATTCTTACCCCTGGCTGTCATTTATGACAGTCCAACCACGCACAATCGATCTCTGGTATGCTCAATCCAAATCTGGGGAAGGACTGCCAATCGGCATTATTCCTAGACAACCACCACATATTGGAATTTCCCACCCTGGCCTGTTATGCTATGGGGCAAGATTTTTAGGTTTGAGACAGTGGCATCAAATAGACTTGGAATTTCACGACGCCAGTGCCCACTAACCGTCAGACGGCCCGCGCATACCAGTCGCGCATATTCTCGCGTCAAAAACGCCTCCTTGTATCAAACACTCACCCTCGCTGCCACCTGTAGTGTCAAGCTTTCTCGTTTGACAGCGGCGAATAGCGTTCCCGATCGCCCCAGGGTGATGTGTATTGTTGAAGCACGTGGACAATCATACTTCTTCATTCTTCTCACCTGTTTGTGTCAGATCATCTTCCCGTTTTCCTCTGTATCTGTCTTCAATATCTGTGTTACAGGTAGGGATTACCTGGCTAGACGATGCTGTCCACTCCCTAGCCCTTCCCAAATTTAGTGCTGGGCCTGACATTTGCGCCTCCCGTCTGTTGACGTTCGCCCCGCCGGCCCATCCACTCCCGTGCGAGGCTCATGTGGCACAGGCATTCCCGAGTCTATTCTAGCATTGCACCATGCACTTTTCCAGATGATGGACGCTCCGTGGCCGTTTCCCTCCGTTACAAGACGTTCATTTCCATCCCGCATTCCTTTCAGCGTTTGAAATACTCCTTGATTGGGTTCTCTCGACGCCTTCAATTTGATCTCTGAGTCCGTTGCTGTGTGAACAGAGGTCTTTGGAACTTAGTCGACTGAGCAATCAAGTAAACAATCGTAGAATAACAAGGAGTAATCAGCTCGTATATAGTGAGGATATTAGAACCACAACTACGGTTGCCATCTTGACTCGACATAATGCATTTCTTGTGATTCCTTTCCCATACCGACTTGGACGCCTCACCGCCTCATCCACTTTCGAATAATAGTCTTCACCATGCTTCGCATACAACCTTTGATCGTGGCTCTGAGCCTGGGACTTGCTCCATTTATTTCAGTAGGCGCCCAAGAGTATACTTATACAACATCCACCGTCACTTCATGTGGGCCAACCGCTCCTGGCGGAGCTGGAGGAGCTGCACCGACATTACTGGGCCCAGGCAACTTGATCGTGGGCATGCCACCATGCCCAGCCTGCGATTGCAATACTTGCGTTCACTCCAACGTCTATACGACAACCTTCGGGGCGTTCTGTCCCCATGGCACGACGGCAATGGCATATACAATTACGGAGGTGTACAGCGGCATGTCTGCAGCTCCTACTCTGGCTGACCGGCCTCATTGCCCACCTGGATTCACAACGGGCGTCGAAACCTGCACAGTATGCGGCGATACGCCCATCACTGCAACTATGACCTATCCAGCAGGAGGATCTCCATATGTCCCTGGCATGGCTGTGGCTACTGCTACAGGTGGTGCCGGGAGCCCCGGCGCTCCGGGTAAGTTTCTACATGCCATCTGAAGAAAAAGATATATCGCTAATAGAATATTTAGCACCGACTCCTGCAGCACCTGCAGGTGGAAACAATGGCACAATCCCTTACAACGGACCAACAGCGGGAGCCAGCAACTCACACACATTGAGCACGTGGGTTTTTACGTTGGCTTCATTTCTCGTCATGGCAATTTTTGGTCTGTAAAATTTCGGGCTTCCCTGCTTGGGCCGCTCCTTTCTCTTCCGCTGTACATTCTCGGGCGACTCCTGTCTACGGGTCTTTGGTCGTCGGCGTCTATAACTCTATACTTGTGTGTATAATACCTAATGTCTAATTTCCAAGTCAATATATCTGTTATTATCAAGGGGTCTGGAATTTGGTGTGGTTACACGACCATTCAGGTCTGGCCCGCCCTTGCTCGAGCCACTGCTACATTTGCAAAATTCTGTGCCGTGTCCATTATGGTGACTTCATGTACGCCACGAGTCTTAGATCAGCCTGTCCCTGAAATTGCCCAAGAATTCCCAGCACCCTCGAGCCCTAGCATCTGTTGAGGTATGTCCAGCCTGCTCTTGTGGATCACTATGATTTGATCACCATAGAACCTGCCACCAAGCCCTGATTCCTCGTTTATTGCACCTAATCTCTCTCCGCTAAGCTTTTTCTTCGATGTTCATTTACACGCGACGACACAACGTTTTATGTCTTATAGTCGGAAGATTCATACGCGTCCGTCTACCGGGTAGAAAAATACCGAGACAATCATTTCAACTAAGAATGAAATGTCAACTTAGTGACAGACGAGTAGGCAGAACCTACCGAGATGGATTATTTGCCTTACTATGGCACGTGTATGGATATGCTTGAGTCTATGCCATCTGTGATAGATCATGGTATCAACATGGTCACAGTCAGATGTAGTAGTTATGAACAAGTCACATTGCATGTATTTTGTCTACAAGATTGCAATCATGCGATCGTTGTAAAGATAAGCACTCCAACACATATTAAATTTATGAGACACTCGCGGCGTGACATCACTTGATATCAATTCATCTTTTGCGGCTCGGCCGACCATTATCGAGGTTTACATTCGTTGATTGCGCGGAAACGCGACTAGATGTATCCCCCTTTGCTTTTACCAGGTCTAAAGCGCGGAGAAACATGAATACGAATTTAGCTCTGAAACCTAATATTCTAGGGCTCGTAACATAGAATTGAGCACGACTTTCAGGCTGACCCGGACTTAGTCGATAATCGAATAAAATTAGCAAAAAGCTCGTGTTTAATTTCTGTCTACATGCGAATCTTATTGAACCGATATACTGAAGGTAACGTCTATGTAGGTTCTCCTTTACACAAAAACGTTGAAATACCCATCAAAAATTCATCTTGATTTCGATTTTAATAAAAGTTTACGACACCGACTATTGGACCAGTGTCTCGATGGGCACAGATATTTGGGTGCTTCGGCTCGGCTCAGACTTGGTGTATCGGAGACCCAATTATATCCGAGAACCGGAGGCTGACTTAGCGCAGAGAGCGAATCCCTACCGGACACATCGAATTTGAGTCATCAGGTCTTTCGCATGAAATGAGTTGACAACAATATAAATGAGGGCTTGAACTTACCCAAAAGTCCTTGACAATACATTGTGAAAGGTTCCTTGTTATGAAAGGATAGGAATGTGAGCACATGTCACCCTTTGACTCATCACAGTCTTCCGTGAAGAAAGCAACGATCTCTACCTCTTCACTGAACGCTATCATGGAACTTCCAGTCGGGCCTCTCGTTTCTACAACTCCAGCGGCATTTCCATCCCGCCAAAGCCTTAATGGAAAATATACAGCGATCGTTCCTCTTCAAAAAGATCATTCCGATGTCCTCTTCAAGCATCTGGGAGGCGCTGAAAATGGTGACAGGTGGACCTATATGCTGGGTGGTCCGTTCGCAGAAATCGAACAGTGGGAGCCAGTAGTAGGAAATTGGTGCGAAGTCCAAGATACGATCTTTTTCTCGATATTTTCGAGACCTATAGACGACCCTGAATCCGAACCAGCAGGCATGATATCGTACTTGAACATTGTTCCAAGTCACCGCAGGATTGAAATTGGGAGCGTCATACTTGGCGAAGAACTCAAGGGGACACGACAGGCAACTGAGGCTTTTTATCTTTTCATCAAGCATGCTTTCGAGGACCTAGGCTATCTTCGTGTTGAGTGGAAGGCCAATAAATTGAACCAGCCGAGTCTTACAGCCGCCGAAAGACTTGGCTTTACGTTTGAAGGAATCTTTAGGTATTACTGCACTGATATATGCCTTTAATGTCATGTTGACACTGACTTTGGTAGGAGCCACATGATTCTCAAAGGCAGACGTAGGGATACAGCTTGGTTCAGCATTACTGACGAAGAATGGCCAATAGTAAAGCAGGCGTTCGAACAATGGCTAGATGAGACTAATTTTGATAGCGACGGAAAACATATCCGGGATCTAAGGGCTGTGAGAAGCGCTCTTAGAACTTAAAAGTCTTGTAAGCGCGCGACATGTAGGACTCGATTACTTGAGCATCATCAAGCAGATCCTTCGTGTTGTCTTTAGCAAGAGAGTAGCGGAGACTTGTTACCTTCTGGGTATTTCTGCATATTAATGATATTCCGAAAACAGTGGGTGATAATGGGTTAAGCTCATATTGGCATTCTTGATGTCAACGCTCCTTGTAACATTCGTAGTAGTGTCTGTGACGGATGAGCTGATATTATGGCTACTGTAAGTTGAAGAGCTTTTGAACGCTACATTATCTCCGTTAACGCCATTCTTCATAGCGCAAATCCTACCGTGATGTATGTTGTTGAAAGATTACAAAGCATACAGACGACCACTTGCTGCGTTGTAAGTATTGTGGGGAAACCGATCATTGGAATTGCATGCACAGTCCAGGTTGTATATGTACCGGTGGTCATGAGAACTCGACAATGTGGTGACGCTAAAATGCTGTTACTTCAAGTCAAGCATCATGATACGCAGTGCGTTTGCATCAATTGGCATTGCAGTCGGGTTCCGAATTATTGTTTTGTCAGCAGTATCTGGTTTGCCGTTCAGGATAGCGAGTCAGAACTAATTGTGGCTGTCAGTTTGTGCGGTAGTAATGAATGGTGTCCGCGCGCGGCTTCCCACGCCGCGCGCACACTGCTTAAGTGGGGATCTCTACGCCTTCGATGCTGAAACATGATGCTCAAGTGCTTTAGTGATTTCATCCTCCATCTGCATTCTAGTACTTCTTACGCAATCGAGTCTATGATGACCAAACGAGACAGCCGAGCGCGAGCCGCGAGGAGTGTAAGGCTTTCAAGCAGCCTCGAGGATAAAAGGCCCTCGATGGCCACCGCCGGAATGATCTTGTAGAGCTTCATCATCCAAACCACCATACCTCAATCTGTCGCCTCTCATTGCATTAATATCAAGATGTCTTCTAAAGTCGCTCTAATTCTTGGCTCCGGACCTCGAGTGGGTGCGGCAGTGGCTGCAAGTCTCTCCAAGGCTGGCTTTTCGGTAGCTGTGGTTAGCCGCAAGGCAACGGAAGGCACCACCCCCGAAGGATACACATCTATTCAGGGCGACCTGTCGGACCCGGCCTCTGTTCCTACAATCTTCTCCAAAGTCACCTCTACGCTTGGTACTCCGAGAGTTGTGATTTACAATGCGGCTACCCTAACACCGCCTCCAGACCAGGACTCCGTTTTGTCTATTCCAGCAACCAGTCTGAGTGGTGATTTAAACACCAACACTGTGACGCCATATGCTGCTGCTCAAGAGGCCGTGAAAGGATTTGCATCATTGCCTGCAGGGGCAAACCCCGTCTTTATCTACACAGGCAATGCGCTGAATAACTTGCCCCTGCCTGTCGCACTCATGACGACACTGGGTGTTGGCAAGTCGGCAACTGCTTATTGGGTTGCGGTGGCTGATCAATTGTATACTGGAAAGGGATACCGGTATGTAATATCGAACATTCTTCCGACCCTAAACGAATACTGCTTACTAAATTTGCTCATAGCTTCTTCTATGCCGATCAGCGAAAGGAGGATGGAAATATGGCAGGGATGGATCTTGATGCGGAAGCACACGCCAATTTCTATACGCAGCTTGCAGAGGGGAAGACAAAGGATGTCCCGTGGCTTGCTACATTCACCAAGAGCAAGGGCTATGTGAAGCTGTAACCCATTTTGAACCTTTAGCGTCTAAACGGGCAGTCCAGGAAATAGTCGAAAATGAAAAGCTCATGTATCTCATTGCCTATTTTCATCCCGAGCTTTCATTCGTGAACATCACTGCTTGAGTTAGATGCCAATTTAAGGGGATTGACTATGCATAACTGATTTTACACGGCCGGCTAAGAACAGTCCCCGCAAATATGCTATATCATGGCCACGGCATATAATAGCCATTTTTGGTGTCAATTTGACACTTCCAGATATTATTAAATAGAACCCATCGGTTCCGTGTTCCTGGAATATGATGTTCATTCTAGACGTGAAGCTAATAGCTCAGTGAAGAAGTCATTATCCTTTTAATCATCGACTAAAAAGATGATAATCTCTTCTAGATCATCCCTTGGGGTACTCGCTGCCGGCATTCTCCTGACATCAATAAATGTTTCTGCTGAGTGTACCAGGGATGGTTTGCTCGCCGCAGCCAGCACCTACATCACGTCTCAGAGCTCTGGCAAGCTAGACGGCCTTGCGCGGTCTGCTACTAATTTCACCTACCGCGAGAACAACAAAGTGACGGATATTTCACGAGGGGTGCTTAGCACATCGCTGAAACTGGACATTAACCGCACTACTGCTGATACAGTTGCCTGTGCCAGCTACAGTATGCTTATATCGTCCAGCGGATCGAAGCCATATGTCATTGCTACGCAGATCAGACATGCCGATAACGATTCAAGCACCATCACAATGATAGACACAATTGCAGCCACGACAGGTGCGCTATTCTTTAACGCGAAGCAAACACTCAGCTATATTCAACAAGAGAATTGGGGTCAACTTCCAGCTAATGATCGCCCAGACCGAGCGACATTGAAGAAAATCGGCGATGCATATCTCGACATGTGGACTGATGCCAAAGCGGCAGACTCAATTCCATGGGGCACTCAGTGTGAGAGAGTAGAAGGCTCGCGGTTGACAAAGCCATGCGGCGGTCAGCTACCACACGGAGGGAGTACCAAGCCGAATGGCATGAGACGATATGTGATTGACGAAACTGTTGGTTCTGTGGATGTACTTTGCTCCTTTGACTCATTGGGAAATATGCCCGATAGCCATGAAATTCGCGTCGAGGGTGGTAAAGTGAAGTATGTACACACTATAACAGTAGTCGAGTAAATACGCCAGCTTGTGGGAAATGGAGTGATGCTTCGGGAGGTCGTGCTAGGCCGACAGAGCTTATGCTCTATACTGGACATTCACACAGCTAAATTTGACTCATTTGATGATTTCAACTTTAACATAGGAGTTAATTTCTGTCTTTATATATGACTGAATTCATGTGACGTCTAGCCAGCCGATGCATACACCTGATACCAATGCCCAAGAACTCCCGATCCAGTCATAAGTGAGGCCGTGGTAGTGAAACGTCATACATAAAAGCAAATTAAAATCGCACCTTTCTGACGAGAGAGACATAGTGGAGTACAGATAATGGAAGGAGTGTTAGATGCGTAGGGCAGATAGGAGAGTGGAAAGAAATTTGGAACCATCCCTAGATGTTGTGGCGGTAAGACCAGATGGGGGAGGGGATGATACAGGCCCCATGGACTGCGCTCGTTTCTTCTTATCGTCCTTCTTCACCTTGGCCTTCTCCTTATTCCGACCACGAGTTGGCTTCGGCTGCTGTTGCGCTGCTTGCTGCATCATGAAACAACGGGGTAGCACTTCTGCACCCGCCATTTGCCTGGTTGGCCAGGGGAAGCTGACAGCCATCTCTTGAACTGTTGCTGGGGAGAGATTTCCCAAAACGTACCGAAGGTGCGATTCGATGTTGTCAATCTTCGCAAGAGGCCAATCACTTCGAGATTGTAGCCTCTCTGCAGTTTGGACGATGGAGCTGACAAGCCACCCCATAGCAGCATTGTATGGGACTAACTTGGCATTGTTCATCAACCAACCCATAAGTTTCGGGTCTCCTGACTGATTGATGATGGGCATGCTGCGGCTGTCATGCTCTCGGGGTTGAAGTTGCTTGAGAAATTCCGTGTAGGGAGCCAACGCACTACGGTTCAGACCAACAAACTGGCCTGTCTTCAAAGCGAAAACAATTTCGTCGGCAAGAGCAATACCAGACTTCATGCCGCTGTTGGCTCCGCGGCCTGGCCAAAAGTGGACGGTCATAGCGGCATCGCCGGCAAGTGTCACTAGACCATGAGGCCTGTGCATGCTGGGATTCTCAGTGAGCCGGAGCTCACTCACTGCGTTCTTAATACCCCGAACAATGATGGGTATACGCATGATGCTTGTGACTTCCGTTTCTTTAAAACCGAAAAGCTTCAGACCATCTATAATTGCCCTCCACAGAGGGCTTTCTCTGTTCTCAGATGGCGCAAAGACCTGGCCTTCGTCGAAACCTGCAGGGACACGACCGCCTTGTCGAAGACAGCTAGGGCGTCCGAAAGTGCATGGCTGACCATCGACGCATAACATTTGATCCCACTCTTCTTGAGTGAGCTGCATGTTCAGAAATCCTGTTCCATCGGTGTCACTAGCGTTGAGTAGATAACGTGTTTGTCCCACGGTGAGAAAGATGTTGATGGGTTGTGAGCGAGGAAGACCCTCGGGGCGGTTGAAAGCCACGCCCAGAGCGTAGCTTCGTCCACGCTCTTGTTCCTCATTCTGGAAGTATGTCTGGCGGATCCAGGAGCCGGCACCATCGGCACCAATGAGGAGATGGTAGTCCCCAATGGTGTGCAGCTCTTCTCGAGTGACTGCTTGCGAATGCAAGAAGATGGTGCCGCGGAAATGTGCGTCCTGCGCACGTCTCAAAAGCCGGTCCTCAACCTTGCGAATTTGAAGGTTGGCGGAGTCTGGCCACACAACCTCTGGATAACCTAAGAAAAGAGCGTCTCGAGTCTCTTTGCTCATCAAGTCAGTGACAGAGTGCTGGAGTGTCACTACTTGGTCACGGCGGCGTGCACCTTGAGGGAAGTCCACAAATGATCCAGGCTGAACCTTTGCCCATCGTCCCTCATATATGTGAACCTCGATTTTGCCAGATGCTTTCTCAGCCAGTGCAATGGCTGTAGCTAAGCCGGTTGGCCCACCACCAATGACAGCAACCTTTAAAGGTGCAGCCGGGTACTTATACGATACCGTATCCTCCCTCAAGTTCTCTAAGGTAGGAGCCAGAGTCGGGTCGAAGAAGAAGTCTCGAACTTGTTTCGTCTTACCGGAAGGTCCAATCTCCTTTGTCTTCATTAAAATGAAACGCATCCATTGTAGGAGAGGAGTTGCCGAGAAGCTTGCGTGACGGTTGCCAAAGACTTGTCGCTGGACAGCTGCAGCAAGAGAGCTGACATCTTGGTGTGAGGGATTTGAGGCAATAGCGCGGAGTTCCGAGTTGATAGCAGGGTTGGGACCACCATAGTTCCAGAGAAAAACCTTTGCTCTTTCTAGATCTGTCTGTCCTGCTGATGCCCACGCACCCTCGAAGAAGCGTGGAAACTTGATATCATGTGCATTGTTGGTAGGTTGAGGTGTTGGAACTCTACGAGGAGCAACAGATGACACCGCGGAGTTGTCTAAGCCAAATGCCATTGCTGCTGATCAGCGCAACTTTTGGAATCAGCGCAACTTTTGGATTAATTAAATGAAAAGACTCCGTGTTGACACAAGTTGAAGACTGCGATCCACGATTGTCAGGGTGCAGGGGCAGTCTACCCAAGTTGTCGCAAAAAAGGGGACAACTGAGCAGATTGATGTTGCAATATTCTGTTGCTGCGCTTGGGAAGAATTAGGGCAAGAAGAGTTCGGAGTTTGATTTATTCAAGTTGGGCTTGCATGAGATGAATTGAACAGAGTGAATAAGAAGAAGAAAGTTGTTGCTGAGAATAGACTGTATATTGAAGATGAGCTGTCCGCTTTGCTGGCATGGTGAGATAGATGAGACGGACCCGGAGGAGCGTCTCGAGTTTCATAAATAATCAATCCAGGAATCGCGACAAGACTCGAACAATAACCGAAACAGGACGGCGATGTTGAGGGATCAGACGCGGGAGTCGCCTTGCACTCCATCTTGCCGTGTCTCTGCGTCCCGTCTGACAGTAACGATCCTCTGGTACCTAAGATAGGTGCTGTGGTGGGAAACACAGACCGCCGCTGATTGGAGCTCGCGCTAGGAACGGCCGCATCCATCCAGTAAGTGGCCGGTAAAAATAACCGAGGCAGAGCCACCTAATCCTGGGATTTTCGGAACAACTTTCTCAGCCCTGATTGTGGCTGGCTTTGCTGCAGCAAAAGGGCAGAGGCAGGGTAGCAATCTTAGGTTCTGACCAGAATAGGGAGGTGGTGGCTTAGAGATGAAGAGTGTCGCACGACATGAACCCGTCTTGTCTTTGGGTAGCCTTCGGCCCTCACATCCAGAACGCAGACGCTGACCTCGCCTGTGTCTCTTCCCATTCGATCGTGCCTGGGTGTCACGAGACATCACTGCTACATTCATCTAATCATCTGGTAATAGGACCTACAATCGCTCTCTTTGGCTCGGACTAAGCGCAGCCGCCACTTCTGTCTTCGGCCGCAATCGCGCATGACATCGATTTACGCGCCGTGGCTCCCACGTTGTGTATTGTCTTTCGTGCATCAGCAACGCCAGACTATCTGCTCGGCGCAGCGCCGAGACAGTATCGGGGCGATGAGGCATTCCCTATCCTGAGACTTTGCCGATTTGAAGCACAAGAATCCGTCAGGGCAGCTGTGCTTGGAGAGCGAAACGTGAGCTGTCCTGGTTGGCTAATGAAAAGACGCGAAGGAATGGCACGGGTCCCGCTGGCAGAAGAAGCTTCAGCCCTACAACTCCTTCTTTTTTGGCCCTGATCCAGATTAGTTATCACTCCAGATTCCTAGCCCCCCACCGCTCCCGGCTAGAATTCAAGTGCTTCAGCACTTGGGGGCGCGGGCTTTCCAAGCGTAATCGATATCTGGTGCGATTCCCTAGTCTTCGCCATTTTCCCGAATGCGACCCCCCACAATCATTGGCAGGCATCTACGGGTGATCAGTTGGATTCACAAAGTGCCGCCGACGATGGATATGTCCGTGTTAGGAACAGTCTAGACCCCCGGGGGGATATGAGATAGATCCTTTGACACCTCTTTGAAGGATCCGCTCATTATCCGGGTATGGAACGGGCATGCCTCAGCTTGCAGTTGGGATCGTGATAGGAATGCGTACATACTCAGAAGACTTCAGAGACTCACCTTGCCGAGCTGCCCCAAGCAAAGGAGAATAGCCGTCACGTCCCGGGGTTAAGATAGCTTGTTTCCGAATGTATCACAGCTTCCAGTAGGAGTCTGATCGTTCGTTGATACAGTCGACTAAAAGTCAATCTCCCCATATCGCCAAGGGCTGGAGAAAGAGACTCGTCGGAAAACTTAAGATCCTTAGAACTATAGGTTGCTAAGGTTGCTACCATTAGCGGAAGGCGAGGAGCTGCTGATACTGATTTCACGGCCCGTTTAAAAAAAAAACACTTGGCAAAGGCGTACGGAGAATATACAGCTAATGTCAAACTAGTCATGATGAGGCGTACATATGCACATGGATGTTTCTGGGAGGCTACAAGTTAAAGCACTGCCTCGAGATGCTTGACGCCCAAGCAGGCTTCACCTACGGTGTGGCTCATCTCTTGAGAAGAAAACAACGGTGGGCGCCGCATTTCAATGTACGCTATCACTCCTCCAATGCAAAAATAGAAATTAAATTATACAAGCGTGCAGTGTATTATTATGTAATGGGTCTCGTTGCTTATGTTCAATCCAGTAAAACGGATTCAACTCGTTTCATCCTTACCGGAGGAATGCCCCTACGATTACGATTGGACCACGAAGACGAACCTGGACAAATTGACACATGGTAAAATTCAGGAGTCGAGACAAGAAATAACGTGGATTGACTGCCTCGTTGGTCATAGTAAATCCATGCAACAGAGTTGATGGAAGGACCAGAGTTTGCATTACAATAAGCGATTCAGGACTTAGGGAATACACCAAATGAACTAAAAAGCTTTCCGGTAACAATCGGAAAAATCACCATGCTTTTGAGGCGCGTTATAAAGGCCCTTAGAGTGAAACGACTGTACTTATTGCACTTTCGTACTCGCATGGGTCGCTGCTTCGGGGAAACCTTGCCTTTAGCGTCGAGTGTGCGCAAACTGTCTGTAGTCCTCTAGCTGTAACTACAAACTTCACTCGAGATTGATGGTACTCACGATGGCCTCGAGCGAGGTAATCAGTTCACCAATCATTGTTGCGAATGCTTCACTCCCTATTCTCGCAATATCCCGTGTGTATATCCCCATATTCTTCTCGACGCTTGCTTCAAACCCTCGAACTATATGCCGTGAGAATTAGGAACAGGCATCACAAGAACCAGTGAATGATTTTGGCTTTGTAATACACTATTCAACTACAGGACCTCCGGAAAGTTGTCACTCTTGCTTACGCCTATGCCCGTCTAGCTTGACTAACGCTGAGACCGGGACCAATTAGAACGGATAATTCCATACGCCATGAGCCGTCAGGGTGTCATGCCTAGAGTGGTCAGATATGCACTACTTTCAAGGGAAGCGCTTTGTTAGATTGTTCGGATAAGCATGGCACTGTAAGAATAGAATTACAAGAATCCATCTCAGTGTATGAATTCAATGATCCAAAAAAGAGCAATGATATTCCCCTTCCTAGTCAGCCTTGTATCAGGCGAGTAGTTTGGGAATTCGGCCGGGTGCAACTTGGTCCAGTGTTTCAAATGAAAGCACCAACCTGACGATATGATCACCACCCATCTGCACCTCTCGAGCAGCTTGTCTTATATTTATGGCAGTATATCGATCGCCGACTAGTCCATAGCTCTCCCGGTTGTTCTTCGGTGAAACTACGGTAGCACAACTTCTAGAAGAGTAGCACAGCTTGCGGTATGTCCGCCGTTCCTGTATTCCTGCAGGCCGTGACCACTCTGCCAGTCGTTCTCGCCGTGACCTGAATGACACCCGAGTCTATTCATGTCGTGAAGCGAACAATGTGCTGCATATATTGAGAAACACCAAGAACGCATGGCTACACCAACGCCTGAACTCTTTGGGCCGCAGCCTTTCCGTTGAAGTACTACACTTTTCGTAAAGAGTTGGTAGCTGTAGGCACGAAGTCATTCCCATTATGCATTCCTGATGCTTAAAATAAGGGTTGGTTTGAATAGGCAGCCACAAACCTCTGCTTCACGGTGTGGATGGAGATTGCAACCAGCTGCTTCGCAGTGCACATAAGGTGGCTTACTTAGTACTGTTGGGCTGAATACTTGTCTGACAATTATTGAATGTCATTTTCTATGTTCAGAGATCTCAATGCAACATCTTGGCTAGGCACAGCGTCACATATTTGGCCGTGTGTGATAGGGATTACATTTCCCAAGGCCATGATGGCCCTTGGCGGGTGCGTAAGCATGTGCCTCAGGAAATATCAGCTCGATACGCAATGCCGCTCTGCATGCGGACCATCGTGTCAGGAGGCCAGGCATCTTTGAGCTTAAGAAGGCTCAGCTCGTGTAACAAAATTCTTGCTGAAAGCTGGGGCGAACTGCAGGCCGAGATCCAAGACTGTGGCGCTCAATATCTGAATGCAAACCCGAAACTGGGCCAAGTCGATGAATGAATGCACAGAATTACAAGCGGCAGAAGAATTCGCTGCTATTTCAAGTCCCATAAGCAGATGACGGATGGAGGATTTCTTGCTCCCCAATGTTCCGAGGAGTTCCTGCGATCCTCACTGGGGCGACACACCAATCAGGATACTGCATCTTGAGGTCCAAATCCGGCTATTTGCTGCTTGCCTGCAGAGCTGCGGCGAATGCGACATCACACCAAAATAACTCCTTCGATGCCACCCTCCTTAGCGGCTAGATCGCTTCATCCCACCGAATGCAAGCGAACCAAGATGCACCATAAATGTGAGCTGCGAACTCGCTTCCGGGTTAAATCAGATTATTTCCCCAGCGGATGCAACTTGCGATCACACTCCGCATCTTCCGCGATCTGGGGGCGTTTCTGACGAGGGGGCTGACTGCAATACATGAGACAAAATAGGATCACCAAGCCGAGACTTTGAAAGTAGGGTCAGCATCCTGCGATAAGGCAAAATCAGGATTCAATCGGTGTTTCCCTCCTGACATGAGAACTCAACGTGAAAAAGGGTTCGCGGAGGGGATGCATTGTAGATAGCTAATACAGATGCCAGAGCAAGGACACCATCCCCCGATTTTAAGGATGACTAGCTCGACAAGAAACGGTTTCCTATAAACTTTGCATCATTATCTGGTAACAGAGGTAGCTAACCGCGAGCAGCCGTCTGCGACTCTCACAACATTTCGGCTTCAATAGGTTCCGTCAAAAGCGGCCGCCATAATCGTTCCGAGGGAAGAAACCCGGCAGGGTGGTGTGAAGCATCCTTCTTGTCCCGCCCATACTTGATGAATCTGCATGTTGCATTTGAAGATTTCTGATCGCTCAGCTGGTACTAGAAGCGCCCGGCGCTCATCACTAAGTTCTTGCTACTCCTTCTTCCGCCCCCAAGCCCATGCCATCGACAGTCCTCAATGGCCTTCTCAGCTGATCATGAATATTGAAGCAACCACTAATGATAAGTAATGGAATATCGGGATTCAATGCCGATAGCTGAGTTTGTCCTAGGTCGTTCAGCAGTTCGAGGTAACCTCGGACTTGCCCACACATCTGTAAGTCTGTGTGCGGACACAAATCCTTGCCGCGACCATATGCTTCTTATTCTCCCACTTGCGTATACTTGCTGTATTCGCCGTCAAAATCTTGATACTAGTCAACAGCCACCAACAGGACGGCCGGCCTAACGACTGGGTCCTACGATAGCGCTTGCATAGAGAGACAAAGCACGACATGCCATAAGAGTCTCGTGTCATTCGAAGGCGAGTGATTATTGGCGTGTCCAGACTTACTTCTCAGCCTTATAATATTCATTGGACTTGCGATATCATCAATCAATCAGCGTCAAGTGCGTGTCCTCAGTCAATACATAGATGACAGTAGATAACTCGACCAGCTTCGAAACATTCACTTTTGTTGCCGCTCTGCTGCCTACAAGTAATGAAGTATCCCGACCAACCAGAGAACAAATAGAATAATAGGAGACGAGAAGTTCATTTATTTAAGATCAAAATAAACGGTTTCTATAACTGTCTAGTCACTCTACTACTAGTAGGCATAGCCCCCATAAGCAACTCAGCAGCCTTCACTCTTACGAAGTGGTGTTTACATGTAGCTGTGCTGTATTGACGTTCCTAGACTGCAGTGTATTTTTGTGATTTAGTGTCTGTATCAGAAGCCGAATCTGTCAAGGTGCGTATTGGCCAAAATCTTGGAGCAAAGGGCCACGAGAGAGTTTCGACGAGCGACTGCAATCCACACTACTAGTACTGATCCGACAACTAAACCCATTGCACCGGCGACCTTTCGTATTGCCATTCGTCTTATCTTCTTCCTCGCTTCCAGAACTAGAGCGCGATCATTGACCCATGGGTAGGGCACATTTGGAACTGGTCTACCCAGAAACTCGCAAAGTGGCTCCCAGCCATCGCCGAGGCGATAATTCAGGAGATTTTCCTCTGGAACAATCCTGCGCACCAAGGCATAATGCTCTAGGTACGCATCTTTAAGCCGCGCACGCATTTCATCGCCATTTTTCGCCCGTAACCAACCCCTACTGCAATCCCACAAGATGGCATGCGACAGATACCCCATCATGGGCCCGATGATCACGCGCACTAGCCACCCGCTGCCAACTTCGATATCGCGGATGAGAATAGCATTGACGCTCTCCGCCCATTTGTCGACGTCCCTCTCCACTAGGATGACTTTGGCCCCTGGGTAAGTCTCAATCAGTTGTTGTGCTACCAGAGCACCGAAGTCTGTCACTCCTTGCCAGTCTCTTCCGATGAGGTCATCCCAGTCGGCGCGGTCGAAGGAAGTCGGCGGGTTAGGAAGCCAAATGGGCCGACGGTTGGGATAGAGGACGTTACGCATGTAGGGAAAGGCACACCAAGCTGCACGCCCCCATTCCGCCCATCCTGCACTGTCCCGGACGTGAATGCTGCCGTGGTGTATACGATCATAGCCTAGGATGTTAAGGGCCGTGGTGAGGGAGAGGCTGCCAGTTCGCGGTAGTCCAAGACACAGAATCCCGTAACCTTCCGCCAGGGTGGCCTTTGGCCAGGGCTCTACTTGTCCTGCCATTGAGCACGGATAGATATCGACACAATCAGAATTTTCAGACTGTGATCAAGCCAGTAATGCGACCAAAATGTGGAAGGAAAATATTTAGCAAGTATTTTGGCAGAGCGTGAAAGCTCTTAGACATCGGCTTCCCAGAAAATTGCTCTCCACTCCAAAGTCCATCTCGGTTATTCAAAAGAATCTCGCAAAGTCCGAACAAATCACTGAAGGAGTGCGACGTCGCTTATTTGGTCAAGTTCGGAATAGCACTCTTATGTGAGATTTGACTCGACATTAGAGCATACGTGAGCATTATTAGCTTAAATCCATCGAAGGAATTGATTGCCAGAGCTACGAGCAATTCAATTCATATTTTGTCGGGAAGATGAACGACAGCTTCTGTAGATGCTATAGTCTCATTGCTCACTCCTTTTCAATTACTCTACATCTGTCAAAACCTGAACCAGGAAGACAGAAGGTAATGTATTTCTGGCAGCAAAATGGATCTCATGATTTGGATGATCTGTCTACAGGCCATGTATTGTACACCAAGCACAGGTCGCATAGCCTGCCAAGCTGCTAATGAGGTTTCTGAGTGGCTTATTTATTTGATCAGTCTTGGCTCAGATCACTCTGTCCAATACACCATAAGATACACAATGAGACATAATACCATTGTCTCCCTTCACAGTAACCATTGAGTGGCTTATAACCCGGATTTTCCCCTTGTCCGAGAGTATTATTTGCATAAATTAGTCGACTCTCGTCAGGAAATAGTTGGGGATTCATTCACTTGTGGCGCTTGCTCAATATACTGAATTCGCATCGCTGTCGGATTTCACACTTGGCGCGTTGGATCATTGTATTTCATCCAAAGACAGGTAGGTGCAAGTTGACAATGGCTGGCGTCCATGAGTGACGTGATGCGTATTCAGATGGCAGGTATCCCCCAGTTGGACCAGGCCCGATGTCATTGCGCGCACTGATGCGACAACCCAGATACGTCGCCCGAAACACACCATCGCTAGGGTGAGACGAACGCTATCGAGATCCGATGTAGGATTAGCGCCGAATTGAGATCTGAGATGCGGGAAATGCGGTTTCAAGAGATGGGCATTTCGATGATTGCGGTCCCAGCTGGCGAGAGGGGCTGATCAAGCCTCGTCTCAGGTCACCCCCATCAACCGTCTCGACAGGGGTCTCGAGTTTGCTCAGTGGCCACGCCCGAGACAAGCTTCGTCAGGAGTCAACGCTAATTGCTCCTTTCGGGATACGATCCGCGCATCTGCGATTAGCGAAGCGTTCCAAAATTGACGAGAGAGTTGGTATTGAACAATGATGCCGTGTAAGCCACTGTTACAGCCGTTGAGGACGGGGCCGGGCAATGACATTAGGTGTGATGGGCCAGGGGATGACGACCACCGCTGCGTCGAATAAGAGGCTTCAAGCAGCCTGGTTCTCTGGACCTCTCTCTTCTTTTCGGTCGCTTTCCACTCTTGTCGTCGTTGGAGGTGGAAGTCATTGCTGGACAATAACGGACCCATAATCTCTAATTCTTCACCCATTTTATTTCCTAAGTTGGTCCGTGACCGCATTACGCAGCTCTAAATCACCTCCTTTGGTCTTCACCTATATCTTCAGACAAACCTCAACACCGTCACGAGCCTTGTTTACGGACATATCGATCACAATGCATCCTTCGGACGTCACAGCCCTCATCATCCTCGCCATCATGTGGGGAGGAGCCTTCTATGCCATGGGAATGATCTACACCGTGATGGCGCTCACCGAGCGTTGGCGAGGACCTAAAGGAGAGACCTCAGTTGGATTTGCGTCTGTACTAGCAGCGATCCTGCTGTCGACTGCATGGCCGGCCGTACTCATCATCATGTTGATGTCAAGCAATTGACACATGGGTCCAATTATGGAGAAGGAACGGTCGACGGAGCTAAAAGGGCCACCTGTGGACATAGCGACATGTCAGAATCTTTCAAGACCATTCACAAGTGTCCGCTATCGTCAAGTTGATGGAGAACAAGGATTGGTGGCTGATGGAACTGGTAAGGGGATTACGGTCGGCGAAGTTGGGTCTGGGTAGAGCGTTCTATATCTCGATGTTGGTCACGTCATCACAATTGACCACTTCCATGCCATACATTTTCATTTCATCATATATGATACATTATATGTTTATACAGTGATCGACCTATTCCCCTTCGAAGCGGCCGAGCATTCATGAGATCAACCCTAGGCATGACCGCTTGTCGCCGGAGGCATGCGTTGTACTGCTTGGGCCGTCTATAGACTTCGTGACAATCGGCTAGTCTGCTGGTCAACTTACAGCTAGACTCAATCCCGCTGTTGAGCCGAGACGAGATGGGCTCTGATCTGGTATAAGACGGAATGAAGAGCGACTATTGTTCATAGTCATTAATTCTTCACACATCCTCGTGTCCCTCCCCTTCACTGCTGTCTACGACAGCACCTTCACCCATACTCTTGGGCACCTGACTGCCGTCCCATTTGCTCGATGTGATAGGGTTAACATGGAGGATGTACATGGTATCGATCTCCTCAAGACTTCGGTCTTTGGACTCAATGAGGAAGAAGTAGACGATGAAGAACAATGCCGCACAGCAGCCAGCGAAGACAAATCCGTAGAAATAGTCGATGGCGTCCGTGATGAACCGAGTGCTAGATCATAATTAGTCATTGCTTAACAGGGGACTAGCATCTTTCGATCTTACAAGAAAGAAATCATGAAGTTCCAGAACCAGTTGGAAGCGGTAGCGAGGGCCATGCATGGAGCACGGTACTGGGCAGGGTAAAGCTCGGCAACAGCAGCCCACACAAGAGGGCCCCAGGTGCTAGCGAATGCAGCAATGAACAGACATGAGAAGACGATCAGAGCAGACCCTGCCTTGGGAGTGTTCATCGGGTTCTCCTGATCGAGTGCGTAGTGACCGACAAAGGCGTATACGCTATTACATATTGTTAGCTTTGTAGGTCATGTTTCCCTCAGGTAGCTAGATACTTACAAGAAGCATCCCATCATCCACGCTGCTCCCGCCATGAGAGCCTTTCTACGACCGCACTTCTGAGCAACCCAAAGACCACCAAACGTGCAGAAGACGTTGACGGAGCCAAGGATGATCTGCGTCACGAAGCTGTTGCTGAGACCGGTGGCAGAGAAGACAGTAGTTCCGTAGTAGAAGAAGAAGTTTGCACCAGTCAGCTGTTGACCAGCTTGCAGCGTGATGCCGAGCAGAGTTCGATAGAGCATGCGTGGTCCAGTGAAGATCTCTGACCAGCTCGTCTTCTCGCCTGCCTTCTCCTCCTCGACCTTAGCTCTGATCTGAGCGATCTGGTCGCTGACGGTCCGGTCGTTCTCATCCACACCAGCAAGCCTGGCAATAGTGCGACGCGCCTCGTCGACTCGCCCCTTACGGTAGGCATGCCGAGGGCTTTCCGGGAGGAAGAGGATGCCCACACCAAGGATCAGGGGCCACAAGAACGAGAGACCGTTCGGGATCCGCCAGGAAGCACTATCGGCATACTTGTCCTCGGTTCCCCAATTCACCATCTCAGATGTCCAGATACCGAGGGTGATGAAGAGCTGGTAGGTAGAGACGAGAACACCTCGGATGATAGCTGGGCTGCTCTCGGACTGGTACATGGGGACGAGAACAGAAAGAGATCCAATGGCAATACCGGTGACGAAACGGCCCATAGCGAACTGTACCCAAACGGTATTTGACGACACCTCGATGATAGTGCCGACGATGGAGAATAGAGCCGAGACGGATATGGCGAGACGGCGACCAAGATAGTCGGCAATCTCACCAGCTATAAATGAGCCAAATAGGCAGCCTACCGGTAGTAGACCGACGATTGTGCCTTGTCTGGCAGCACTGAATGTGTATCCACTAGCATCGTTTCCCTCGCCGAATCGTCTTTGGAAGTCCTCCATGGCGAAGAAGCCGGATATTTGACCACTGCGTCGTCGATGAGCCTCGCACAACCAAAGGGAATACCATCAAACTTACCTGACATAGCCAAACATGAAGCCTCCTATACTGGCAACCAGGCCAAGGAAGCATGCCAGGAAGGTAATTCGTTGTCCCGTTGCCGCTGCATTGTGGGCATGGCCGGGTTTCTCCACGTGGTCTTCGTGTTTCTTGAGGAAATGCATGTTCACCATTGGTGAGACCAAATACAAACACACAGAAATATTGGGTATTGGATTATATGATGAAGATTAGGAGAGGGTCGTGTGGCTACGGGAGAGGCGGCGAGTTCGTTTTTAACGTCCCCATTGAATCGCTGTCGATACATACATACATCATTGGTATCAGTGGGCCGAGGCCCATCCAGTGCTGGATTTGGCCCACTGCAAAAAATCCAGATCGAATTCCTCCACCGCACATCACGAGGTTATGTGTGTTCTGCTGCAAAACTCTGAACAGTGGAGTTGCTCGGGTCGCCCGGGCGGCTGACAGAGTCGTCAGTTATGCATGGCATTTTTGGCCGTCGATGTACCAAGGGATCTAAGAGAACCCGAGTCAAGACCCACCAGCTACCCGTGGCACTCGCTGAGACACCCGCCGCTACTTGTCGGCCAGGCACAGAGGCACAGCAACAGCGGCGGGCGGCGTGTAGGTATGCCAATTGGTAAGGGGGCCGCCGAGTCAGCCTGCTTCGTTGCTGTTCTAGGTACCTCCGCCCTGAATCGCCGCGCCGCCGTGGCCACCCGCGCTTGTCGTCCGGCGCCGCGGCTGCTGTTACTGCATCATCGTCACACCACCGCTCCTCAGCCTAGACCTCTGTGTGGCTGTTCCGACGCATTACCAACCCAGCATCTCTGGGCACAGCCACTCGACTGCACAATGCTCCGAGCGAGCAATTGAACTTCCGAAACCCTGAGATAGTGATACTGATACTGCAGTATGATTTCAAAGATAATGGACGGCCCGACTCAGTCTTGAAATGCGGGTCGGGAGGGATGCCGTGAAAGTGCCGAAATTCGGCCCTCTTGTGGAGGCAAAAGAGGACCATCGCCGTTCTCCAGGGGCCAACATACTGATATCAACAAAAAAAACAGAGTCCATGATATCAGTATATCTTCAGGCCAGAACCTCCCTCATCCGATCACGAAACAGGCCACGGGCTGTTCTGCGGCCGACCGGCGAAGATGAAGTGTTCGCGGAAAACAAGAATCAATCGGTCGATGACCAAAAAAAAATCCGAGTCTGCACTCGCGTCGCGCGTTCGGCTTGCTCCGTGTTAGTGCACAGATTCTAGCCTTACCAAGATCTCGAGTTTTGTCGGATCCAATTCGACGTCATTTCTCCCGTATCTTAGTCTGACGATGAGTGGGCACTGGGCACTCTTTTTTCTCTCACGGTATTCGGAAAGCACCGCCTTGCCTTCTTCTAGGCTAGCCCAGCCGTCGAAAAGCAGCCGCTGCCGCACAATTGCACGCGTTATTTCCTCTTGGCAGGCGTGGCAGGGTCCGGGCTCTTTCAATCCGAAGAGGCTCTCGCTCATCACGGTCTGGCACTAGCGATCATTCTGCATGCCAACACACCGAAAGCTCCATAACGACGTGGGCCTGCCCTGGTCATCGAGCAACTTCTACATACACTTCTAATCTGTGCATACTATGAGGCACATTCCACCATGCCCACAACGACACATATAAGTGGACAGCGGCACTAGCAGCAATTACACAGAAAAGTGTCGTGATTTACAATGTATTAATACAGGTGGCGCCGGGCAACGGACCTGTGCTACGTCCGAAGCACGAACGGCCTATGGTACAACGGCTGTTCTGAAGAGCAGTCTGATAAAACACGCTGGAGCTTTCATCACACGTCCATCCCATAAGCTATGGTATAACCCCTCATCCAAACGCCTCTTCCCCTTTTCTCATTTAGTCTGCATAAGCGACGAGCTGGGCGACGAGCATCCAGTCCGCGCCGGCCGTCTGTCTCCAAGTGGAGCTGGCGACGCACTCGATCTGCTCCTGGCCGTTGTCGCCCTGCTGGAACAGCGTGACGCGGTACATGATGGCCACGGCCATCAGGTCGACCTCGATGACCTGCTTGTCCGGGTGGATGCGGAAGCCGGTGAAGTGCATGCTGTCCTTGAGCTTCTTCTCAATCTCCTTCTTGCCCTTGATCACGTCGTGCGTGCTGAACGACACGGGGTTGAGCATCGAGCAGTCGTCGGCGAGGTACTCGAGCGCCTCCTCCGGGTCGTCGGTCAGCGCGCGCCACAGCAGGGTCTCGCTGTCGATGGCGGCCGCGTGGTTGCGCTTGGCGATGGTGTTGAGTCGGCCCTTCGGCTTGCCGCTGCTGTTCTTGGAGCCGCCATTGGCGCTGGCACTGCCGTTGGCCTTGACGTCCGTCGATACCTGGCCAGAGGCATGGGACTTTTCGTTGGTGAGACCTAGGACGGTAGGCATGGTGAAGTGTCTGTTTCGAGTCGTTTTAGAGTTTGCTAGTGTCGATTTTCACGCGGTTGAGTTGCCAGAACTGCGGTGCAGAGGGAGTAAACTTGCAGCTATCGTAGATCAGGCGAGTAGTAATGATAATAATCGGCGAGCAATGCCATCTCGACACTGTCCAGCGTCTTCAAGGCGCACTCCATATTTATTCCATCACCAACTGCCCCCATAACAGGTTTCTTGTGTGGCTCCAAGCTTCTGACGTCAAAGTCGCGACGCCTCATTGGCCACGTGTGGCGTTGACGTCGGTGCGCCGATCAGCGATCTTCCGTGCTGCCGGGGCCACAAGTGTTACGCATCAACTGCACCAAAGAAGGGCCTTCTTAACAACGGAACAAATTGCTTGTACCGTCTTTTCAGACACGCATGAGTTCGAAAATTGCTTCAACATGGTCTTATTGCAATATGACGATGTTTAAAAGGTACCCATAAGTTATGGAAGTATTAGAACAATCGTTATTATGGCGCTAGATAAGATGAAGAGAACAGGGCCATGTTCTGCTGATAGCCCGTGGCTTGTGGCTGACGGTCCCGCTTCGCATCACCTACAACTAGTGCCACAAGACTGTAGAGTAGTCGTCGATGACCAAGATCTGGTGCTGTTCGAGATTGTTCTTTAGAAAACAAACGAACCAATAATCGTGTCTGGTCTCTTTGCTGCTACCTTCTGTGAGACTCCACTGGAGCCTGTGTGCGTGTACATAGCGGCTGTGGCAGTTACTCCTATGCCACACTGCCTTCGATGATGCATGTTACACCATAGTATTAAAGGTGTGTCTGAGCAGTGCCGCGAAATATTATCGGTTTTCGGGTGCAAGTTAATGACCATGGCATCAGTTAAATACACACCGCATATCAATGTTACGGCCGTAGCATAGAATGCAGAACAGCTCAAAGAACATTGGCGATTTTCATTGAACCAAGCCCTCCATGCTAAAGAACAGATAGCAGGTCGCAATGAGAAACACGTTCAGCAACTACCGGCAGGGCTATAAAACGCCTCCATATGTAACGGCAGAAAGAGAGGGGTTGATTGTTTTTGTATTGGGCGCGATGATAGCATACTTATGGACCGCTTCCCGAAAATCCTAAAGCTTACCGACACGAGACACACATGCACGCTTGCTGCATGTAGGATTTACCCAGCGCAACATCACTACCAATGGAACATGAGGAGACTGAGCCGCTCTGCGTCCCCACGGCTGAGTCGCAAGCAACACCCGTCGACATCATGTGCTCTAATAATTCCGATAGGCTGAAAAACTTGAGCCGCCAGCGATATCAGACGCTTACCGAGCATTGGGTATCGAGGCGGCTGATGCCAAGATGACGAAGACGGCAAAGCTACGGACTCAATCGCAGAATGTGCATCAAATCTAAGTATAATGAAGCACTTATTAATTGTGATAAGCGAGGTACTTGTAGGTTGACCCTTGCCATTGCATCGGAGTGCGAGGTCTGTCGTACTCTTTATATGACACGTACAGCTCGGATTCATAGCCTTCGTTGATTGGTACGGCATAAAGGAAGTCTTTCACGTATTTGAGAGCGCTGTGAGATATATTCAACATCCATCGCTCTCTCAAAATACACTTCTCTCACAAGAGGAATGTTCCAAAGACTTTCAGCCTTATCACACTGCCTAGCTCGCCACAATGCCTGATACTGGTGTAGTTCGGGACGAGCCAATGGCAAATCATGGGGGAAATCCTGTCAAAGAAACCCATAGTGCAGCTTCTGTCCACGAGGCCCCAGTGGTCTCCGATGATGAGGTTGAGCCACACATATCTCTGTCAACATTGATGGCGGTCTTTGTAAGCCTCTAGAACCCACGAGGAAGCAAACTTGATATCTGATACCAATGCTATGCCTAGTTCATGGGCCTCTCATATGTGCCATCTATCAGTGCTGGACTGCTCTTGCCGACTGGAATTCTCCAGCAGATTGGTCAAGCTTTAGGCGATACGGAAAACATTACATGGATCCCCGGCGGTTGGTCGATTGCGTCGGCTGTTTCCTTCTCAATTGCTGGAGGCTTGAGCGACATCTTTGGTCGTAGATGGGTATTGATGTTTGGTCAAGTCTTGACTTTGGTCGGAGCTATCGTCGGTGCAACTGCTGATACGACTGTGACCGTGGCTGCTGGGAGCACAATAATTGGCTTCGGGGCTGGCGTAATTTTCGTGTCGTATCCCGGTATCATTGAGCTTCTACCTAACAAGTATCGGTAAGTCTTGAACCCAGTAAAACTCATCAAAACAGCAGGCTGCATACTTACAGAGAACAGTGGCATTGGATTAGGATGGACCGAGTTCTGTATCAACATTCCGTGGGGCTGCCTCAGCGTTTACATTGCTACCCTGCTTCTCATACATGCCAGCTGGAGATGGGCATACTACATTGGCATCATCTATGCTGTCGTGTGTATCGCCGGAACTTTCGTTTTCTACTATCCTCCATCTCACCCGCAGCACGATTACGAAAAGTCACGATGGCAAGAATTCAAGGAGCTTGACTTCGTTGGGTTGCTTCTTTTCTCCGCGGGTCTCACTATCTTCCTTGTCGGCATCACATATCTGGGGCGTGACACCTATTCAGTCGCACTTGTCGCCTCAACCATCAGTATTGGCGCTGTGATCTTCATCGCCTGCTTCATTTACGATTTCACAATCCCAAAGAACCCAATCTTCCCGTTCAAATTGTTCGCTATGTTTCGAGAGTTCACGGTGCATCTAATCATTTTGTTTGTTTCTGGCATGGTCTGGTAAGCAACCTATTTCATGTCCGCCTACTTCAGTCAGATTTGGAGTTTCTTGATCAGAAATTTGCTCCTGGAAAGGAGATATACTCTCTAGTTGTGAATGATATAGATCTTTGCTGACTCCATCAAAGGCAAGGAATCGTGACCTTAGCTCCGCAGGCTACTCTCTACATGTTCACAAACGACCCTATTCAGATCGGCATTACGATGATTCCGTCAACCTTCTCTGGTGTCCTCGGTGGATGGATTTTACCCAGCTTCGTGCATAAGATCAAGCGCGTCCGCTACCAAATCATGTTTGCCCTCATAATACAGACGACTTTCACTGCGAGTTATGCCGCCGTTGTGCCACACAATAAGCGAGCATGGATGGCAATGCAATTGTTCGGCCAAAGCTGCTTCACCTGGGTGACAACCCTAGCCTATGTCTCTTCAGGTCTGTTTGTTCCCCAGGAAGAACTCGGCGTCTCAGCGGGCCTACTTGGAACATTTCGCAGCGCTGGAGGCTCGGTCGGTAATGCGATCTTCTCAACTATCATGACATCGGTTGCGAATCGTAACTTGGGCAACAACATCGCCGGAGCAGCAATTGCGGCAGGATACCCCCAAAGCGGCCTAAAGAAGCTCATCCCAGCTGTGATCATGAATGCTGTCGGTGTGCCACATGCGTTCGAGAATATCCCCGGGGCGACATCTGCTGTGGTCGCTGCTACTGGACAGGCATTCAAGAACACATATGCACATGCTTTCAGAATGGTATTCTTTGCTACCATTCCGTTCTGTGTCCTCGCTCTGGGGGTTTCTTGGTTTGTGCGTGATCCGAGCCATTTGTTGAACAATCATGTTGCTGTTCATCAGGAGAAAGAGGTGTTGTCCGCGTTAGAGCATCGTGATCACAAACATGGACATGCGGAACAATCTGCTCATGCTTAAAGCGCGAGCTATGCTTTAGGGAAACCGTCCCTGGGAAGGACGGTTATTCTGGGTCTTTAATGAGCCCTTAATGAGGTTAAGGGGCGGATAGCTATGTTAAATGCTGTCATTTTATACTAGAAGTGCTAAAGGTCTCGGTACTGAGTGGGCAACATTTGAATATTTTAGATGTCAGACGTAATTTTCGCATCTGTTTCTAGCCATTATCCGCGATCGAGGCTGAAATAAACAACTATGGACTGTATGTAACTCTGATAGCAAGCTATCTTCCATAAGCTTGGCGGAGTGTACAGGCATGTGCTAGGACTTCTACAAATGCCCCTCGCAAAGCCCTCGGATTGGCTGCAAACAGAGTCATTGTCAGGCTTCTCTGCACAGCTGAGCCACTCATGCCTAAAACGGTTGCTACATGTTCTGTCAGAGCCTCTCAGACCCCTCATTCCTCAACGTCCTCATATCGCCCTTGAGTAGGGGGAGTCGCGGCTGCCATTGCCATGACGACTTCGAGCCAGCCACTGAAAATATTGTCATTGGGTTTGTGTAGAGTTCCCCGGAATCGTATGTATGCTTACATTGATCAGATGGAGGAGGCATCCGTGGACTCTCGAGTCTGCTCATTTTAGAGCACCTTATGACTAAAATTCGCGATGCGAAAGGCCTCAACCACGTCCCGCGGCCATGCGAAGAATTTGACTTCATCGGTGGGACTAGCACCGGAGGGTACTTCATGTGGAATGTAGATGAAGAGTCTTCTACTGATGCATTGTGTAGCATCATCGCTATCATGCTCGGTCGATTGCGCATGTCTGTTGAGGAGTGCATACAAGCGTATAAGAAAGTAGCACAACAGGCCTTTACCCCGAAGACTATACGGTTTCCCGCATCACCATCTGGTACCTTCTCTGCCAGTGCACTCAAAGCTGCTATCGTCCAGACAGTGCGCAGTTTCTGTTCAGAGCAAGAATGTGCCGACCGGCGTAGCCGTGGCCTCTCAACTGTTGAAACATGTCTGCATAGTGACACACAATATCGAAATACATTATGTACAAAGACGTAAGCCAGCAGTCGAAAGATATGACTTCTCAAGACAACTTATACTTCATAGGGCTGTTCTCGCCGTTACTAAAGAGAATGTCGATGCACTGCCGACTCTTCTTACCACTTATGATACTTCCGCCAATCTTGACGGCTGTACTATATGGGAAGTTGCGCGTGCAACTTCAGCGGCCACAACATTCTTCAAGCCTATCAAACTTGGGCGGGATGGTATCGAATTTGTGGACGCCGGACTTGGGTACAACAACCCCTGTCAGATTCTCATCTATGACGGACCGTAGAGCGCGTACGAGCAT